CATCCCACTACCAAGTGCAGCTGTATAAAATTCCTTTGACGTGAAGAATTTAGCCCTGTAAGGTACTTCGGCAGCAAATACGTAAGAAATATCCTCATTGCCATCATTACCTGATTACCCAGGTTAACATTAACCCAGGAGGTGTAGATTCCAACGCTCGATTGAAATCTAAGGAGGTCATCTGAGAAAAGGCTGCTGTTCGGCAGCACAGCATGTCAGGATTTTTCTCAAAGTATTGAGAAAAATTGAGACTTCTTAATGCAGTGAGGTACATTTTTGTGCATTCTCACATTTCACTTGCCGCTGTGCCGTATGAGCTAGCATTGTATTCTTGTGCTGCTTCATTTCTAGATAGTGTAATATTAAACAGTCTCTTCTAGTTTACCCTATTTGTCTCAATTCAGCCCCAAAAAAGGAGAGGAGGGTTAGGGAGGAGAGAGGTCTTAGGCAAGCAGAGCTGTCAGACTCATGAAAACAACGTAGGGCTGAGCAAGTGAGCCTGTGGGAGTGCTGTGACAGAGGAATGTTAAGCTCCATTCCTTTCCAGTTGAAGAAAAGGTACCAGAGAAGTATAAAAATTAATATAAAAAAACAAAGCCCAAACTGAGTATTGCTGTGAGTAGTACATGGACAAAAGTTGGTTTAATGTTTGTATTCTGTCATCACATAGTTACCTGGAAAGGTTTCTCTACAGTCTGTTTGAAAGAACGGTACCTCTGGCCCATGTTATTTCATTAGAACGTGTTACATAAGTGGTCAAAACCTTCCCAGTGTGTCTGTGGCTTCATTTTGGAATGAGGTGTAATCTGACTCATCTTTTTTTTCCAGCAGGCTAAATACATTCTAGTAATAGCTACCTAATAACCCCAGACTTTGAGTACAGGCTGTTACTTAATTGATATAGGGAATGGCAGTAGAAAAAAGGACAGGCAAAAGAGAGGAGAGAGGAGGAAGATCAGTTAGTGGAGTAGAAGACAACTCATTTACAATCGGTTGCATGTATTTTGAAAGCACTGTTTGTGTTCTGTGATTTTTTTTCTGTTTCTGATCACGGGCATTAATTCCTGTTGTAACTGTTCCAATTCTGTTTTGCAGAACTCATCTACAAAGAAGTTATGAATTCTGAAGAAAAGACTAAAAATGGCGTAGTAAAAGGACAGCCCTCTCCTTCAGGTACTCAGCCCCATTGAATAACCTCAATGTGTTTTCCACAGTGACAAAATGGGAATGGAGGCAGCTGAACCTCTGGGGCTACACCAGCTGTTATGTATGCCAAGTTCAAAAGTTCTTATGCAACATGGTGATCATGATGGGTTGAGCTTGATTAACTGAACTCCAGTGTCATATTAATACTTAAAAATCGGTCTACATGTAAGGACGTTGAACCCGTTTAGGGTAATTTTTTGTTACCGAGCTCATGTTGTTAGAAAGACCCTCCAGATATTCCCTTATTGGCATTATGAAAAGCACTCCATGGACCCACTGACTTGTGAAATGAAGTCAGACACAAACGTCGTTAGGGCAACAGGTTAACTATCGTGCTCCAAGCTGTGGAAATCAGACACACAGGGCAGCTTGGATGTACCCCTGTAGAGCCCCAATCACATGATTTGCGTCCCTTTATATTCCCTTTTTCCCCTACCAAGTCCTTTCCCTTTACCATCCTCATCCTTCACAAATAAACCCCTGTTTACCCTTTCCCATTGGCTCACATTCTGTTCACTTTATACGCTTGCTTGGTATTTGAGACGCAGTTGCCCTAGTAATTTCTCTGGAGAGATGTGTGGTAACGCTGTACTCTTATGGATGGGGAGGCTTATTTCACACTTACTACAATAATGGTTATTAGATGGATAACAGGACTAATACTCTGCTGGTCTATAAGAGCAAAATTGTTGATATTAGCGTATATCCGTCTGTTTAACACGGAATTCTGCACACCTCATAAACATCATGTGATGGGACCTACTCTGATAATTTATCCTTTCAGAAGTCTGATAATGTTAGAACGACTTGATTATGAGTTTGGTTGGCACTTCAGTGAGAAGGGAAAGCTTTTTTCAAACATGGACTCTTAAACTCCTGTCACAAAAATTCACAAGCAAGTTTTATCTGAGCAAAATTTACATCATGAATATTTTCACAGAAATGCAAAGCGTGACTGCAGATAGATATTTGTGAAAGTACGTGTTAAGTGGCAGACTTGAAGTGCCCAGGTTTTAAACGTATTGTCCCAGTCATACTTATGAGTAAAACTTCTGCAGAATCTTTCTGGAAACTATAATTGTTTAATTCAGCGTCTTCTACGTATTTTAATTCAATGAGGTACATTTTTGTGCATTCTCACATTTCACTTGTCCCTGTGCCATATGAGCTAGCCTAACGTTTGAACAAGAGTGCATCATTAGTAGCTGATGGGACAAAGGGAATCGTGATGACAAGGGAAAAAGTAAGTTAATACAGTGCTGGCTGGTGATACTAGAGCTTTAGCACTGCACCTGGGTTTTGACTAAAATAAAATAAGAGATGGAAAGCAATTCACTGTGTTTTTGCTGAGCAGCAAACTAAGTGGAGGACGTGCAAATTTAACTTACAGAAATATTGTGCCACCGTTGAAGATAAATCTGGGGCTTTGAAAGGTATTTAATAAATCCTCCTTCTTTAGTATCGCTACCCTATAGAATGGTGGTTGCAATCTGATTTATGAGGCAATAGCATTATATTTGCTTGTTTCAGGAATTAATTTGTGAAGACTACCCAGAGATAGCCTTTATATAGTTCACATTCTGTTTTTCCCATGTGGAAGGTTTTTATTATTTATTTACGAACATTTTTGGACACCCACACGCTTGCAATTTCTTAAGTGTTTTTCTTTTACTGTTCCCCTTTGTTTTTATATTGCTAGGCAGAAGCAAGTATAGCAACTTGGAAGTGTTGCTCTGAGATGAGGCTCTTCTGTGGCACAGTAGCTTTCCCATTTTCTGTGACTTTGTGCCACTTAACTTGCTCAAAGTTTTGAAAGAATGATGTAAAACAAGTCACCGTTTCTGAGCATGAGGGAAATAATGGAGACTTTACCCACTAAAAGATATATATGTACTTGTGTTTCTAATTTAATAAATCAAACTACAGAATGGCCAGAGTTCAGGGTTCTTTTTTAAGAAACTAGTCTCAGATAGTCATGGTGGGGTAGGAAGGATTTCTAGATCATAAAGGATACCTGATCAGTAGTGAAGGCCTGGTTTAATGCCTTTCTACCATAGTAAAAAGAAAGTGGTGCTGTGTAGTCTGTATCCTTCACGCATCACCCATCTAACCATTCCAAACAAATGCAGTTTTGTTCAGAGTTGGTATATCAGCCTTCCCATTTTACTCTTTTAGTTCCTGTTTTTGTTGGTGTATCAGCCACATCCTTCACACATCACACATCCTTCACACATCTAACCCTTCCAAACAAATGCAATTTTGTTCGGCATTGGTATATCAGCCTTCCCATTTTACTCTTCTAGTCCCTGTTTTTTTGTTCCAAGGAGGAAATTCTGGTTGGCACATTTGCCACGTGTAAACATGTTTGTAGGTGAACCTCCACAGTTTGTTTTATCTTGATAGTCCAAGGATTCAGATTCTTTTCAACTTCACTGTGAGAAACAAGCCTTACAGTTTTGAATGTGCAGAAGCATCCTGTAGTCAGATTTCTTAGCGGGGATTTGTAACATAGGTATTTTGCTTGTTAAAATTGCCCTAAACATTACCAAAATGCGGCCTAAAATTTAATCTCTAGGTGCTTAGCCCGGATTTGTTAGAATTTAAGAGAGAATATGGCCAAAGAAACCATACTACTACACAGCAAGGGCTTAAACTTTTTACAGCTTCCATTGCTGAGCAGATGTGGCATGTGCCATTAGCATGTAATAACTGAGCTATTAAACTTCCTATAGAGCAGGAGTAATGCTGAGTTTTCCTCTGTAATAGCTGATGCTTTGGGCTAACATTGTGCTGTGGACACTGCTGGGAACTCAGTTATCTTTCTGTTGACAGACAGCTAAGTAACTTGGAGGGGACGTTGTTGAGTCAGAGCCAGATCTATGAAGTTGTAAGAGAGGGACAGTAAATAACCTGACCAGATATGAAGGTGCATACTGTCTTCTTCCCTTCTGAAGATAAAGCTGTTTCTCTTTGGTAGACTCAATTACAAGGCATAAAGCCTTATTTGCCCAAGCAAAAAAAATCAGTAATGAACACCCAGAAGACTTATGCGGTACAAAATGGAAATATTCGAATAAGAGGAAGCCAACAACATTCAGTGGCTCCTAGTTAGATGGCGAAAGTTCTGGCCACTGCTTGGATCTCATAAAAAGCAGCTCGGAGGAGATTAGTCTCCTCTTCTTCTAACACACTATTCCGTAGTTGATATTTTCTTAGTTATGTTTCTCTGTTATAGCAGGTATAGCCAAGGTCAGGAGGAAAACTGAAGCAGGAGGAAGAGAGAGATGATATGCCCAGATTGGCTGATTAGTTGGGGAACTTTTTAGAGAAGGGGGACATCTGTCATGAAGCCAGTCTCTACTGTATTTCGACTACTTGCCCATATGCAACGTGTGAGATTGAATAAGGAGGCTTTTAGATATTGGCTACCCGGAGCATGCTGAAGTCGACTGAGAGCTATGCAGGGCACTGATCTGGCATTGTCATATTCTAGAGGAATAACAAACTTCCTAGTGATCTTACGAACTCTCTCTGGTCTAGTTAAGAGTAATGGACATAAAACCTCAACACACACATTACTTACTTTTTCTTCAGTGTTCTGGACAATTGCTTGGAAGGCTAAGACTTGGGGCTCTATCACTATAGCAAACAAGTTGGAGATGAGTTTCCATGATTCCTTGATGAGAGATTTTGGGGAGAGAGCTGAAGTTGATGCTACCAAGGATAATGGTTACCCATTCGTACTCCAGGCTACATAAAGTGCCTGTCTACCAGGATGTCAGTCACTTGGGGCTCCCCCTCATCTCGTGAAGAATTAGCTTGAAATGTGAGGCTTGGGGGGAACCTCAGGTGCCCGTCTAATTTGTGCTCACGTCCAAAGAAAAAAATCAGCTCTGTCTAAAACTGTTCCCAACAGTTATTTCTGCAGTCTGTTCGTAAAAATCTCTGAAGGCTGTCTTGTTTACTCTCAAAAAGCTTTTTCTCATGTCTTGCCTGAATCTTATTTTGCTGCAGTTTAACTCTGTTATTTCTTGTTCTGTCTCGGGAGGACATGGGGAACAATTTCCTACATTTTTCTTTCTGGCAGCTTTTAGCTTACTTGAAATCCATTACCGCATCACTAATCAGTCTTCCTTTCTTTAAACTAAACTACCCACATCTTTCAAAATTTCCTCCTAGGTCGTATTTATTAGACCTTTGCTCGTCCTTACTGCTTTTTTCTGGACTCTTGTCTAGTTCGCTTACATCTATCTTAGATCACAGTGCCCAAAACTATCTGCTTAAGGCACTGATAATGCTGAAGAAAGTGGAAGAATTTGCATGCAGATGTATAGGTGTGTTAGATAAATGCGGTATGTAAATAACATGCAGACACCATCTGCCTGTCTACATGCACACATAAATGTTGACTTTCATCTTAGATCATAGTTTTTGCTTTTGTTTTTCTATTCTTTGTATTTTACAGAATTGCTAAACAGTTCTAGTTTATATATAAGTCTAGATGCTTGTACTCCTTGCTGATCACTTGTCAAAGTCACTGAGTCACTTTTCAAGGTGATTGTGCCGTACTGTTACGTGGCTGGCAGAGTAAAAGTGCTTAGAATAAAATGGTTTCTCTGTGGAAGCTGATCGCAGCAATACATGTGAGAAATAGCCCCTGAATGGCTGTGAAATTTTCTCCATGATGGATCTCTTAAAAAAAAAAAAAAATGACCAGCAAAAATCTGTTAATGATTTCTGATGCTTTCTGAAAATAACCTGTGTCCTCACATGTAAGCAAAACTTTCTGTGCTTGTAATAACTAGTGAACAGTAGTTATGGGCACCTATGAATCCTCTGGATTACTCTAGAGAATATATTAGCCCTTGGCTTTCTTCTCCTCCTTTATTCTGAGTTCTTTGATCACAGTTCAGTCTGGTCTAAAAGTTGGACATGGAAAAAAATTAGAAGAAAGAAAGGAGGAGTCAAAGCAACATGTTAATTGGCTTCCTAAGAATTTCTCTAATTCCAAAACAGCTACAAGGATGCATATTTCAGGACACTGGTATTTATGTCATCAGGTAATTACTAGCTACCTCCAGACCATCTGGTACTAGTGACATACCTGAATCTAAGCTGTGGAATCAAGCTGAGACTTGAACAAGAAACCAGATATATGTAGCTACTTCCCTGTCTTGTTGAAATTTTAGCAGAGAGAGTGGAGCCTTCAAGACCGTGAACATGGCAAGGTCATGTGCAGTGCTATCTAATACACTATAACCAGTTAATCTGCTATGAGGTGCTAGAATAAGTTGATAGGTAACATGTTTTGCCTTGTCTGCAGGGTTAGTTCTGCAGCAGTGAAACATTCAGGTGTTAGTTTCTGCTGGGTAGTTGTAAAAGTCCCACTGTAAACAGGAAAACGGAGGCTACCTTTAGTGCTCTTAATATTAAGAAAGTGAATGCAAGTGTATCTGTAGACAGTGTAAAACCCAAAGCAAAGATTGTAGCATGTACATTTTTAATAAGAAAGGCAAACTGCATAGTGCACATCATACTGAACTGCTCAACAGCTTGGGATAGTGGCAAAATACTTAAAATGCGTATTGTAGGGAGCTGGCAATTTTAAAAATGCAACAGGGAGAGGAGGAAAGAAAAGATCAGTGCAACGCTTCACACCAAACTTGGTTCCAAGAAATGCGTTTCTCAGAGGAATATTTTGAGAAAGAAATTGTGATCTGGAACTGTGAAAACTGCACAGACCCCCAAGTGCCCACCATTAAATGTCAAATAGTCAAGTGCACATGCATGTAGTGGATCCTGCATTTAGCTATCTGCCAGTTTGTATTTTCATTTGTTTATCCATTTTGCAAATAAATGCAGGCTTTTGAATGTTCAAGATACTTCTTGGATAAACATGCTCTCACATATGAGTAACAGACAGGAGCTGGTAAGAGAGAAGCTGTAGAGATATTCTCAAATGGCCAGGATGTTTTGTCAGCTCAAGCTTGCTACATTATACATCTCTGAAGGCAATGATTCATTTTCCTTTTTTTGTGAATGTCATTTGATAGAAGGTAAAGAGAGAAGTGGTTTGCCAGGACTTGGCTTTTCCTCAGCGAGAGCGTGCTTCGTGCAAAAGATAAGCTTTTGCAGAAAGGCTAATGTGCTTGAGAAAAGCAGTTCCGACTCCTTTTGTTAGTTCCTCCTCAAACCGTATTTTGGCCTGCAATATTTGTCTTTACGTTTCCCTTGAAGAGTTTATGATCCTGTCAGTTTTCTTCTTTTAGCCATTACTTCAGGCTTAAAGGGCACCTTTTTCTTTTATCTAATAATTTCCATCATGCTGCTATCTAACCATGCTGGCTTCCCTTCACTCTCTTAAGCTTTATTAATAGGTGGTGGGCATTGGTCCTGTGCTTGCAAAATAATCTCCTTCAGCGGTCTTAATGAGCCTGTGGGAGCTTAGCCACCACCGCAAGCTTTGTCATGTTTACCTAGCTCTCCTAAGATGACCTGGGCATAATAGGGTGGGGGGGGTGGGGGGAAGGTTAGTATTTCCTGCTCTTACCAGGATGCTGAATCTAAGAACCAGTGAGTGGGCTGGAGGTCTGCTAAGCTTGGGGGTTTGAGATGTTTAAATTCTGTTGCTGTCCTGTTGTCTCCCATAACATCAAGTTTGCTTCAGTAATCCTAGGGAACTGTTTGCTCTTGCACATGAGAGGCCAAACCTCTCCCACCTCTTCCTGTCAAAAACAGTTACAGAAAAGTTGTAGTTGTTGTTGTATGTCGTCATATCAGAACTACATAGTTCAGCACAAATGTTCTTTCTGAAAGAGCTATACGTGAAAAGCAAGAGGTTTCAGCTATTCAGAGATGAAAAGCAATTTGTTTCTCCTCCTAGAAGACTGAAGGTGGGTGCTAGGATAAAACCATGCTGGCTACTACCCTACTCTTGTCTCCTTTTCAAATGCAGTATGAAGGTAGAAGCTGCCAAAGCATCTGGAAACTACAGAGAAGTAAATGACAAGTTTAATACCTAAAACATGTGGAAATCATCCTAGCTTTAAATAGGTTTGAAATATGGCTTCTGAATTTACACTGACATGTTGACTGAAAAATCAGCTGGAAGTTCATTGGCAGTAGCAAGCAAGAAGTGAGTGTGTTGTTGTTGTTGTTGTGTTTTTGTTCTTTTTAAGACAACTAGTTCATAATTTACAAAAGCTAAAAATAGCTTGAGCACACCGGTTATGTTCTTCAGGACAGGAAATGTTTCCAATCTGGTCCTGATTTAGAAGAAAAACTGAGTTGATGTCAAAATCCCAAAGGGGTATGAGGAGTTTCATTTTATTAATAGGTTCATTCTTGATGTTGTCGTTATCGTTGATGAGTTACAAAGGGGAAGCTGAAGTGTGGCTTAGCATGGCACAGCCAGGAGCAGCTCCCAGGAGCTGTGTGTCACCTACTTTAACTTCTTGTTCTTTCCCTGGGGTCAGCAGCTAGCATAAAGCCACGTTGCACTGAGAAGCTTCCTACCAAACAGCAAAATCACAGACAGGGCTCTTCTTCTTCTCTTTTGAACGCAGCTCTGTCGTTTCTGCACTGTTTCACCTGGCACATGTCCCTTCAGGAACAAGCTGTTGTGGCACCAGACGGGTGCTGAGCATGGCAAATTAAGCATTAGCTGTTGATTAGAACAGCTTTGGCTGGGTTACTCGCTGTTACTGCTTAAGTACTGCTTTGTGCTGTGTTGAATTCTTTAGTTCTGTCATATGTAGGTTTGGTGTGATTTGGTTTGACTTGGTGGATGTTCTGTTTTTCTGGGTGCTTTGACCAGGTCTGTGTGTCGTGTCATAAGTGATTGCGCTGAAAGCCGGAGAAGGAATAAAAATGCACTTTTCAGAAGTTTACGGACTGTGTTAGCTCTTGATGAAGTGAACAGAGCAGGGTTTATTGACTTGAGTGGATTGAATCAGACAGAGGTTACTGATTAATATGAGTGAAATACATGTAAATATCTCTTGGGGAAAAAAATAGTCAGAAAAGAGGGAAACTTGCTGTTTTCAGTCACCAGTGAGACGATATTGAGGCCACTATATCTTTTTGCAGCGTTTACAAAATTGCAAGACTAATTAAGTATTTTATTTTCCAAATGTATCAGGAGAGTAAACTAATTCAAGGGTGGTTTTTTTTGATGCTAGAATGGCTTGGAACTACTAAAACAGCTGAAAGCAATGCCCATCTAGAGCTCTGAATGCGAGCATAGTGTCTCTTTGTTTTGTGCATAGATATATATATATAGTGAGATGCATAAAGGAAATAAAAAAGGTTGAGAAAAATAGGTGGAGGAATGGTATACCGGCTTGTTTTCTGAGATTAACGTTTTTATTGCAAGTTGGAAGGTGACTAAAATCCTTCCCTTTTACCCGTATCACGATATATTTTGCATGGGCTGTGTAGATTGTTCATAATTCCTGTATTAAAAACACTTAAGAGTTCTGTATTTTTATTATGATTATATTCCGTGTTCTTCTGCAGCAGATTTCAATTTGTCTGTCTAGTTTGAGGAAACGAAAATCTGTAAAAGTGAGCCGAAAAAGCTTTTCTATAGCATAAGAATGAAACAGCCTGTACCTGCAAAAGGAAAGTCTGCATGTCCCAGTGAATAGCTACTATTTCCAGCCCTGCAACATTATGCAAAAGCACATTTTTAGACTCACGAACATTTTAACTGCGTACAGAAATTATAAGTAATGTCTAAATGGATGTATCCATCCCAATCTGCAGATTATGGTAATCTTGGTGGAAAGAGGAGGACAAAACCAATGGGCAGAGTGAAGGTTGAACAGTCATAGGTACAGGATAAATACGTTCTTCACGTGGTTCTGCAGTTATCGCATAGTTATCATCCCCATTTATAGGATAGATAATGCTTGCCTAGCAATATTTATGGGTGTGATAAATGTTCAGTCACATTAATGATAACCTCATAATGGTTAATTCTCCATTTTACCAAGTCACAATGTTTTTAAAGATAAGTACATGGTACTATCACCATTTTACAAGGGACAGGTAAACAAATTCACAAAAATAGTTGCAACTGAAATCCTGAACTGAAAGTCTTAGTCACTTAGCCCTTAACAGAGGGTAAGAACCCAGCTTTGCTTCCCCCACGCTCATCTTCTGCAGATTGCCACCAGACTACATGTTCCTCTTGTTCTCACACTGTGTTATTTGATGCCACCAGTTCTACTGAATTTTCTGCAAAAAAGCAAGGGCTTCGTGAGAGAATATGGAGGGTGGTGTGGTTTTTTTTGAATCATCTCATTGGTACTTGTGTGCCCAGCAGACATCTAATCTTTCCGTGTTTAGTAACTTTAAGGAGGCTGGATATAAAATGCAGTAATAAACACAGCATGAGCTATACCTCTTCAAAACAGACTGTTAAGGGGAGAGAATTTCCTGTTAAAATGCTTTAATGTTATCTGGTGCCTAAACTTCTGTTGTCTTGTATGGCCTGTTTTCTGCTCGTGCTTGCAGTTGGTGGAAACGGTCTGTGTACCTACATGCCTGTTGCCACAGGGTGTGTGCCCTCTGCTTTTGAAGCTGCCAGAGGTCCTGGAGTTTCAGGTTTAATCACGTTGGTGTTCGTTTTCTTAGCACAGGTGCAGCAGTGAACAGCAGTGAAAGCCTCCCTCCATCCTCATCTGTCAATGACATCTCATCCATGTCCACTGATCAAACACTGGCGTCTGACACAGACAGCAGCCTGGAAGCTTCTGCGGGACCCCTCGGTTGTTGCAGGTGACTAGCCGCCTGCCTGCGAAACCCAGCGTTCTTCAGAGGATGATACAATTTAGGGGAAAAAATTAACAGGAGTTAAGAGATGAAAAGGAAGAGAAATAAAATACAAAGATTTAAATGAAACAAACAAACAAAATCTTTTCAGCCTGCTTCTCCTACAGAGTTATGTAATGCAGCTAAGCTCAAGTGTATATTTAACTTATAGTTGCTCTGCTTTGGTCTTCTTCCAATGATGCTTTATGAAGGGGGAAAAAAAAAAGGAAGAATCCTTTTCTTTCCCCTTCCCGTAAAATGTAGAATTTATGGCTGCAAAACCAGCAACCTGCAACTGTCCTTTTCACACTGGCATGACAAGGTGTGCAGTAGCCACTCGAAAATGTATGAGTGTGTATCTGCCTTCACTCTCTGTTCTGACTTCTTCTGCCTAGTGAGGCAGACAGGAATAAAATGCGTTTTTCTTAGTATACAAATAGCACGTAGACACATGCCAATAGAATTTGGGAAGTGTATGCAGCTGTGTGTCTCCAGCAGGACACACATCTGCATATGTATTCAGTGTGCACTCCATAACTAAATGGCCCATTTCAGGTGAACTGCATAAATACATATGTGATATATTAGCAGTATGTATTCTATTTGTTGGTTCAACATTAGGTTGCATATCTTACATGAGGATTTGTGGAAGTGAAAATAACCACATCAGACTGCAGTTCCCTCAGACACTTGAAGATGTAGCAACAAAATTTCTCCTGAGAGGTGTATATATTTTTTGAAATAATACCTGTTTGTACTGAAAGGAGATGCCATAGAGCTTCTCATAAAAATGTTCTTTCTTTGTGAACGTTAACACTTGTTATTCTGATTTTTAGAGCAGATATGCCAAGCTATGACCGGGTTAGAAGGAAGCACATGCATCTTTGCAAGCTACGGGGAACAAGAATGAAGGTCTTTTACGTATGTCTAAGCCCAGAAAGATTTATCTCAGTGAGCAGCTTTTCCTGTTAATATTAAGTGAGTTATCATCTTAGTTTGTAGATAGGCTTGCTATTATTAATTACATTGTCTATGTTTATGTGTTAGGGGGTATGACAAGGTTGGGGAACAGATTACGGTCAAAAGGGCATGCACAGTTTACGGGGTTTTTTTTATGTCTAGGTCATTAGTAAATCAATTGAATAAAGAGAGGAGATTTGCAGCCCACTTCCTCTCAGAGTGTTTGCTGCTGCGAGGTTGTTTTCCCTGGAAATCATTCCCTTGCAGGAATCTCCGTGACTAAGAGAACAGGCCATCTGTAGGTGCTTTTGGCTATTCACTTGCCTATGACAAATCATCCAGTTCCCCAGAAAGTTTTATCAGCGGTGTTACATGGAAAAGATTGACCCGGTCAATAGGCCTAGTAGTCCCATATTCTAAGTAACAGCAAACAGCACCAGCTAGTGCACTGGGTCTAATCAGGTGTCTTAGGCAGTGTTGCTGAGTTCCAAAGGACTCAGTAGTGGCTGAAAATGAAATGGGTTTTTGCCAGAAAATAAGAAGTAGGGTTTCCGGTGGTAAACGACAGCAAGTTTTTTTAATCAGAGAATGCAAGACTAAACACAGCAATTCAGGACAGCTGATCATTTTTCCAGCCAGAACATCAGTTAGCATTTCACGTTGCGAGAGCGCAATTATCTGAGTTGGAAATCAACTAAGACCTGAGGCTCTCATCTCTCTTCTTACCAAAGTATGCCGTGTAAACTGAAATGAGGTAATTCACACTATTACACTGTTCCGAATGTCAGAAAGAGAAATTGTTTAGAATATGTTACTGGATAGTTTAAATACACTGCTGTTAGCTAGTCAGACTTCTACTGAAATATAACTGTTTTGTTAGGTAGCTCACGAAGCTGCCGTTCCGGAGTTAGGAGAAAAATCTGAGTGTCAAATGAGATTTTGTTCAAAGGAAGGAAAGCTAATAATGAACTTCTCCTGGCAGGTGGAATAAAAGCTAAATGGGTATAAAGTAATTTCGGAGCTGGTAGCTCTGAGCAGTCTCAGAATTGCTGTAGGAAATTTTCTTCCCCCAGGTATACTTTTGGTGGGTTTTTCTGAAAATTTTGGTGGAAAATAAAATTAGGTTGACAGTTCTCTAAAAACTCTGAGCAGTAATTGTGAAAGCAATAATTTACTACTGCAGAAAATATTTAGCAATATTTTCTCTTAAGCCATGAAACATCAAGTCATCCTTCAGTGATGTAACTCTCAGTTCAAAGCCGATCATCGTAAAAGTATTTAAAGGTAAACAGCAGTGCTTTGTGGGTATGAAGGCAATAACACTGAGGGTGACTTCTTAGCAATAATAAAAGGTATTACTTCCAGATTTAAATCATCACAGAAACACTAATAAAGTACAGATAACTGACATCCACTTTACATCTCTTAATGTGCACAGTTTGGGTGTGTTCTTTAACCAAAAAAAAAAAAAAAAAAAGGAGGCAAGCGTCTCAGGTGAAGTTGTATGTAAGAGGAACTGCAAAAATACGACAGAATTATAAACTGGGAATAATCACAGTGCATTGCCAGTGATGTTATGAAGATGTCTTCTAGGCAATAGCAGAGAAGCCATTTATAGTAAATGGATACTTATGGTGGAGAAAAGCTCTCCCATGTTTCATCTGTCAAAGTCAAAACAACTAACTTAGTCCCGTAGTATTACTCAGTCTTGTTTGGGTTCGTGAGTGCTGGGTGAAGAACCAACCACCATACAAGATGTCCTAGTGATTGGTGCTAAATTAACCCACAACATAGAAAATACTAAGCTATATTCTCAAAAGCACTGATTCTGCAAAGCACCAGTGCGTACAGAAACCTCTCTTTGAGATACAGGGATGCATACATAATTTTAGCTAGCAAGTGCTTTTGTCCTTTGCTTAGTAGTGATTGATCTAAGTACATGCTTAAGTGCCTTGTTGAAATGGGGCCTATAACAGTTGTTGCATCTCTTTTTTTCCTCAAATTCGTCAGTCTCCTTTTTGGGAAGCTCTGTCTGTGGGGGAGACTTGGGGCTGTCCACATTGGACACTAGAAAAAAAGCCATCAATGGAAAAAAGCAATAGTTCTTTACAGTTCAGTTCTTGCCCTTGTATGGTCCTGTCCAAACTGAAAGAGCAACCAACAAATAGGAATCGTCTCCTTTGTTTTTCTCTGGGTCAGGAAGTTGGTGCTTCCAGCCAGTACTTTACAGGAATACATACGCGATTGCAGTACAACTGCAATTAGAGATTGCAGTTACTGACATTCTGTAACTGTCTTAGGATAAAAAAAAATTCTTACAGATCCCAGAAATTAAGGCCTTCAAGCCTTTTCCTCTTTATTCCAATATTTTGTCCAGTGTGATATGACGGATGTTTTTCTTCTCTTTCTTACCAGTGCTCTTTCAAATCTACCTCTTTGTTTAAAATTACAGTAAAGAGTACTTGCATAGCAGTTTACTCCTCATTCTCTGAGGTTTGCAGTCGTAAGGTATAACTGCCACCATTGCAGAGATGTAGAAAATTGGGAACCCGGCGATTTATGACAGATCTACCAAAGGCACTATCAGTGAGGCTCTTGCCAGAAGTGCGCAGGTGCGTATCTTCCATCAGCACGAATGGGAGCTGGGCACCCTGGTACTTCTGAAAATATGCCTAAGATCCTCTCTGTATCTTAAGTGCCTGAAGACGGTAAGAAATTCTGTCCCAAGTAGCTTACTCAGTTCATGTAGACAGCCATCAGCAGAGTAAGGAAAACGGCAGAAGCATCTTGATTGTCAATGGCTGCTCAGAGCACCAGCTACAAAAAATAGCTTTGAGGAGATAGAGAGGAAGATCACGGAAAAACGTTCCTGCTTTATTTTCAGGTGAAGATAAAGTACTAGATAGTACTAGAAACGTAGGAAAATGATAGCATTGCTCTGAAAAGACCTCCCTCCTTTCTTCTTCTCATTGATAAGTTTAAAGGAGCATGAAATACCGATTTGCGTCAAGTTGACGAAAAGTTAGGCGTGTTTTCAATCCAAATTGTCTATAGTTTTTGAAGTCAGTCTGCACATATTGACATGATAGCTGGAATACTGCCTTCTGAGTTTTGACTTCATTCCATTAGAATATAACGCATTTTTAGAGAGAGGAAATATTTCTTTGACTTGGTCGCACATTGATTTATGAGAATCATACTGTTGTTAGGAATGTGCCCGTATTAGCTAGAATTCCCTGGCACAGATGCATGAAGAAGAGCTTGACTTGGAGTACAAGTATGGGTAGCTTGTCAAAGAAAGCACCAGAAAGCCTGATCAGGTACTTCCCTAATGCGTTCATGTTTCTCTCCGGAAATCACCAGTTCCTGCATGATACAGGCCTCAGGAGACTACACAAACCAGGTGATGAGGTAGCTGTATCAGGCTTCTGAACTTCAAACCAAGAATAAATTCATTTGTATGGTTTTGCCTTCATATATATTGCTTTACCTTCAAGCTTTGGGCTAACGATACTGAAGAAATTAGGCTTGGTGTAGTGCCTTTAGGAAGATCACCAAAATACTGCTACTTACCGATAAGGATTGCATTTTAATGTTTATCAGTGAGCGCCAATGATATTTTTTTCTACTAACAAATTTTCTCATGAAGAGAGGCTGATAGTCAAGATCGAGACTGTTTGCCTGAGAGAGAGTCAGTTGCGGCAAATGTCCCAGTACAAAAAAATGGAAAAATATTTGGTTTTAGTATTCTAAAAATCGTTGTAAAATGTAATTGTAGTATCTTAAATCAAAATAATTTAGTAGCAAATTTTAGTTTATTTCTATTACAAGCATTGCAGTATTTCAGAGGATCAACAATGATTTCACTGTGCACTTCTATATTTTTCTCTTTATACTTTTTGAGATTTTAATTTTCGATCTGAATTCAAGCATGAAAAAATTAAAATCTCAGAAAAAAATTTTAGAGCAAAAATAACGTATTTCCCACCTAAGTCTATTAAGCGTGCTTCCAGGGAGAGCAATATGAAAGAAAACCTGCAGGGAAGAATTAGGCTTTTCTTTCAATAGCCTGGCAAAAAGTAGTCTGTGTTAGTGGTTCACTCTAAGTGTGGAGTTTATTTCTCTTTGCTTCTCTGTGTGTGTGGAAGAAAGAGAGGGAGTATATATGAATGTGGTTTTTAGATTCTTAATGTTATATTCGTATGTGATCCAAATTCTCAATGTGGATAAAGAGCGTAACTGTAACATAATCACACATCTTCAAGAATCTGATGACTGTGCTTATTTTAACTTCCACCACTTTACAAAGGACACAGATGATAACTAAACACAAGCTCAAGCTGAACTTTCTCACACACACGCATACACACAATCAGTGTGCAGTAGGTTTAAATATTCCACAAATACGCAATGTCTTAATTAGAAAGATGCTGTTTGGGGGCAGGGAGGAATGGGGAATGTGTCGTCTTCACTGATGAGCTGGAAAACAGACCTGTCCAGTGGAATTTAGTGGACTCTGTGTAACGTATTAGGAACTTGCCAATGGGGCCTGGTTGTTTTTTGTTTGCTTTTTGTTTCTTAAATTAACTATTGATTACAAGAGGTGAACTGTTTAACTTCATTTCTGTTCAGGCTCATTGACCCATGGCAAGTTTGAGTTTTAAAGAGGGTTTGATGCGACAAAAGAATGTTGAAAAACTTCAGCTGAGGCTAATGGTGCCTTTTTACCTGAGTGAAAAGCTGAAAAGCACTTATTGAAGGAAGACACAGTCAATTTGGGAAATAAATGTATCTCTACCATGCTTATCATTTCAGACAGGTAAGCCTGTCTCTTTTGCTAATTTTCACTGAACAGGGCCATTCTTGTCTTCTGGAAAGCAAGATATTTATAATGTAAATAGTTGTAATGATTTTTTTCTTCCTCTGTAACTAATACGTAATAATCCAACATGCTATTTCTGTTAGATCTTTTACAATAAGGCCACTGTATGCCTAAATATGGTTGACCTCTGACCTTTTCCCAAGTCAGTCATGTGCTGAAAAGGAGGGTGCTGGAGGTTTCAGTGTATATATGGAATCTTGTATATTTAGTAAATTGAGTAAGTGGGACTTATGGCCAGTATACATTAAAGCCACAACAGTAACAAAGCTCCAAATCTTAACTAGCAGAAACAACTGTTCACCTTGCCATGTCTGTCCTTATAATAAGACCTAAGTTGCACCTGCCTGTAGTTCTGCATGATCAGACTTCAAAGTATAACTAACAAAGTCTGTAACGTATCAGTGTTCATAAACGTAGATTAAAAAAAAAAAGAAACTCCAGACCAACATCAGAAAACCAGCAACGGCAACAGTTCAACGTTAAGAATGGAAGATGAGACACGTCCGATTTTGTTGCAGGGTTAGAGTTGAAAGGGTGAACCAGTGTCAGTCAGCATAAATGGACTGCGGTAGTGACATTTACTAAGAAACTAACCTTATTTCCATATTGCTTTGTTCCTACTCTGTTTTCCTTTGACCATCTGTTGTTCCCTGTGTGCAGTACAGGGGAGAATTTGGCCCCAGTCATCAGCATTTTATGGGTCAATGTTGCGTAAGTGATTTCTGATTGCTGTTCATTTAGCAATTGCTAAACTAAGGTGAGAAACTCATTTGCTCCTGTGCATCAAAGGGAATCGTGTCAGAGCTTCCTCATAAGGATAATTCTCACTGCTGTCCTTACTCCTGTCAGCTGACTGACTTTGCAGTGTTCCCAATAATATAGCACAGCAGAGTAAACTGTATTGATGGAGGGCTTCATTAGATGCCTGTTGTGCATCAGTACTCTCACTGGGGCTCAAAGTCATGCAGCGACAGGACACAACTGAAGTACGGTACATACTCTATACATGACGCCTGTATTACACCATTATGACCTTATAGTGGGAAAACCGCTGATCTTTACAGATGTGGATTTGGACTGTCTTTATTTGGGAGGAAAGTTGTAGTGAACCTCGCTTCTTATCCTGCATACCACTTAGTCCTGTTTGGAGCAGCTAAGCGGAAGTGAACGCAGTGCAAAGACCTTCTAGAGGGGCTGTGCACCGAGGTGAATTTTGTGCTGTTTGAATGTGATCTCACTGAAAAGCCTGTATATCCAGCAGGGGAGACTGACTGTTCTATAAGGGGTATTTGTGGTGTTTACTTTAAAACAAGCTTTGCTAATTAAAATAGTGTATTCTGGAATCCTGTTTGAATGGCATCAAGAGTATGAATGAAAAAAGTACACGCACACAGCTCTCCTGGCTTCTTGTTCCTTTTCCTTCAGCCCTCACTGGGGGACCACAAATAAAGCTGTGAACATTTAAAAGTTGGAAGAATTACAAAATCTAGTTAGTAGATGTTCTCTGTAGGCTTTATCTTGTCAATTGGTGTTCATTTTAAGAAGCATTTACAGTGCTAAAGGAGTGTAAAGGGATGTTACTGCCTCTGAGACTCAGACTGTTTTAAAGTAGCTTAAGAGTTTATTTTTTGCATGATTTCCTAAAAATACTGAAAAAATGACCAGTTGCCCAGGCGGAGGGAAGGGAAACTGATAAGTTTCTCACGCTCCCTTTCCCACCTCCTCCCCCATTAGAAAATCCAAATCAAACCAATTAAAAAAAAAAATCAACTGCAGTTGTTATTTGGGGCCAGATTTTTCACAAATGTGGAACATACTTCCCTTGATTTCAAGTGAAAAGGAACAAAAAAGAGAGAGGTGCCGGGGGTTGGAAAATAGTGGGCAGGGGGGTTCTCACTTCTTACACAGGCTGTCTGTGCTGACTACGAGTGAGTCAGACCATAATGTACAAGGGATGTTTTTGTGTTTGGATTCCTCACGCATAGAGAGGAAAAAAATTAAATAGCATTCTGTTAAAAAAAAACTGAAGGGGGAAGTACAGAAAAGAATTAATTTAAGTACATTGTCAAGCACTGTCAACAAATTGATTTGGTTGTTCATACTGAAATAGCATTTCAAATGTGTTGCGCAGAGCTGGCAGTCTTGCTCTGACTTGCTAAAACAAGAGACTCTTCAAGGTCCTTTTTTTCCTGGTTTTTATATGCAGAGATTGGCTAAACTGAAACATGTAATAGAACCAACCCCCTGGTGACTTGCAGTAGCAGGGGAATTTTGGGTTCGTCTTATTGCAAAATGAGAAGAATAATGGAGCTACCTGTTGGTTTTATCGGGTACCTCTTGAAACAATTGAAGTTTCTTCTTTTTTTGAGGTTTGCCCTTTTCACAGGAGTCAAAATTGTTACAAGCGTTCCTGTCATTTGCACATCATTGAATCCACATCTCCAGCTGTACCTGTGATTTGGCTTCAAATAAACCAAGAGTCCTAAACTCTAGTAAATCTGAAGTTGTACCTGAACAGGAGAGGCCTGTCTTTTATAATGCTGCTTGATATTCAGCAGAAGTACAACAGGCCAGCCTTGGAATTGTATTTCTTTAGTCAGCTTGCATTTCAACTTAAACATCACTTGTTTGGTAAGGGGCAGTACCTATTATACTCTGGTGAGCTGCAACAAATCAATGGCCTCATCTATGTCGAACCAGAGTTAAAGGAAGGAAATCAGACCATCTCTGCAAAACTCCACCTCCATTTGCTCGAGGCGAATGATTGGAATGAAGGTCAGTGAACAACCTCTAAGCCCAGTTTAAACATAGGAGAACCAGTTTTCAGGCCCCCTTTACACTATGTGTGGCTGCCAGGAGCTGCATGTTGGAGCCACTTTCTAGTATGGTGGAAGAGATACAGCTCCACTTCTCCCTTGGCACCCTTTACCAGGGATCATTCCGTTTTGGCTTTATTTCCATGTGCGCGCTAATGCTTGGAAGCAACGTGTTTGCAGGCTCCATTCACTGCCCTGTGGCTGAGCTTCTCCTCAAATACATACAGATAAAGATCAAAATAATCTTAGTTTTCAGCATGCTCTCCCAAACCCCCTGTTAACTGCGCAGCTTGGAGCCTGAATTGCTAAGCTAATGTGTCTCCAAGAAAATGTGATTATGGGTAGAGCATAGGGAGTCTGGGAGGAAGTTTAGCTGGTTAAATTAATACTAATTTCCTAATGTGTCTGTCATTTTAAAATGGACTGCTGGGAAGGAGTAAGTGGTGTTTGTCTCCTGATGCCTCTGTATAATGCCCTATGCGTATTCCAGGAGGACTTCTAAATGGAACGGTAATTAGGCTGGTGGAGAAAATAGGTCTCTTTCTGAATATGACTATTAATGGACAGACTGAGGCTTTTGTTAAATAACTCTCATAGGGAGTGGCTGACTGCTACTGTTGGGAATATTTCCAACTTTCTAGCACCGTGAGTCTGAAACTAACAATGGAGGCATTTAGTCTTTCTTTAGACTAAATTTTGAAACGTGCAGAATTCTTCCCACCTCTGCTTCGTGTCTAACATTGGAGGAGAAGGAGGATTATCTTTGATTTTGTACTAACTCCTGAGTCACAAACAAGAAAAAAGTAGCAGCTGCAAGCAAATATCCCTTCCGTTTTCCAAAACATCCAATGCTTTAATGTGTGACTGAGATGGAGCGCTATACAATGTCTCACCCCTGCTGTTAACCCAACGTAGGTAAAGCCTTGTCTGATGTTACGAGTTTAAGCCAAGGTAGTCAGTCGTTAAGAAACTGTGTGCAGATGCTATGAATATGTCCTTAAACCTCGATCTTTCGTCACCCAATGTGCAGAAAGAGCAACTCTGGAGTTCTGTTTTTGTGTTGGGGTAGCGTATTTAGGTCCACCCTCTGTTGGATGTGTCCTCGCCATACTCTAGGTGATATTCCTGCTCATGGAACACAACCTACCAGTTTAGTTCAGTTACATCTTCTTAGACTGCGACAGCAAAGGACAGGAAAGGATTTGTTTTGAATCTTGTCAGCAGGGTACCAGATCACAGCTAGAAAAAACGCTTGCCCTTTTTTTCCTTCCTCTTTTATAAATAACGACCCTAAATACTCTAATAGCAAAAGCGAATGTCCTGATTTGGAGGTATTTTACCGTAGGATTCTGCTTAAGCGTACCCACTCCCAACTTGCTTTTCCAAGAGCAGTCAACCTTTCAGGAATGGATTTGTAAGTGTAGGTGTTCGCAGGGGAACAAAGAGATTCTCTATTACTTTATGCCAGCCTCAATCCAGAACTAACAAGGTTTCAACGCAGATAAATTCAGAGTGTGCACAACAGCCCTCTCCACTAAAACTGGAATTGTCATATGGCTCAGCGCATAACTGAGTGGACTGAGAGAAGAAACTGTTTTTAAAGACAGCGAACATTATGAGAATCAGGAATCAGACGTCATGTCTGAATACTACTGAACTTCAGAGATTTAAGTAGCCAGAGCATTGTCCCAGTTCTTTTTCACAAGCGTAATGCTGTGTAACAGATAAGGAAGCACAGTACTAAGCACTGCTTCCAGGGCATGCATCCTTTGAGATTTTTAGTGACGATCTGCCATGTCATTCATATTATGCTTCTCTACACAAAGGAAAATAGTCAGCTTTGGTGGTATGCAGACCTCACATCATCTTTTTTTCACCAAAAAGGAGGAAAGTAGCATCTCTTTGAACAGCACTGCAACACTTGCACCATCCTACTGACTGCAGGTGGGTCAGTGGGAGACTATTGGCCAGGTTTCAGCACAGTTGGCTTTTGTCTTTCTGACCCCTTTAGTCACTGACACAAATGAAATAACAATGCAAGTGGAGATGGCAATAAAATTAATCATCTATGTTAAGACAATTCACTTGTCAGCACCGATGGCATGATTTCTGAAACATGCAGAATAAATTTTAATTCCTCTTCTTGGCCGTACTTGCCTAGCGTTAGCAAAATGTCAGAACAACCAAGTTGTCTGCCAGTTCTGCCATTGGAGTTTTAAGCAGTTAGCACAGAGACTAATCTAAGCGCTCACAGTGTTCACACTCAAATTCATTGGCACCATTTTATAACACTGAATCTGGAGGGATTGTAATTCCACATCAAATTTGCATTGTGTTGCAGCCGGTTCACCCGAGCAGCCTGTAACTGGAAAAAAAAAAAATCAGAGCGTGCAGTGCAAGCACTTTTTTAAAGCCGATGGAGGAGGGTGGCAGCCATGTTTGTTCCTGCTTCTGCTTTGTGTTAGAACAGATTCCTCCTCTCAGGTGACTGGCACACGCATCTTACTCCTCTGAATGTGGTGTTGCAGAGCTGCGTAGGCAGAGCTGCTCTCTTTAGCAAGGAAGAGCCGTGATACAGGCGAAGAGTGCCACCTAAAGGCAGAAGTGTGCTGAAGAGCAAAATTCAGTGTACCGTTCAGCCTGTAAGTTACTCGCTTGTTGCGTTTCTCCTCCAGCCAGAGTGACTCTGGACAGTTCATCGTGTACCTGATTGCCTGAAGTATTTTTTGACGAAAGCATAATTCTACATTTTAACGAAGTCTTCGTTATTTTTTTGTTTTCCAATCAAGTTTATATAGAGGATGACAACAAAGATTGTCAAATGAGTGGTATTGAGCGAGACGTTATCACGGCACTCAGTCAGTTGGGTATGTGGGTAGATGTGACCACCATCAGTTGACCACCATCAGTCTCTTCAGGACTATCTGGAGTCTTGGAAATAAAAAGCCACAAAAAATTTAGCAAATAATGTTTTATGAATTTCCAACTGTCTGCTCTGCGTCCAAGATGGAATTACATGATGAAAACTTCTTGCTAAGCAGCCTGCAAAGGTATGTTCAAATGGAAATGCTATGTAAGCGTTTCTCTTCCTTTTAGGTAGCTCAGCAGTTAGACAGCAGTAAAATTGGATTACATGACCGTGCAGGGAAATTGTTTTATTTTCTCCACAAATCTGTCCTCTAATTGTTTTCTTTCTTTTTTTTATATCCACATTAATGGAAAGGCATTCTCTGATACCATACCTTAAATATGCCTTCCTCCAATTTCTGGTAGTATACAAGCAAGACAGAGCTTTCTGACTTACCGCAGGACCTTCTGGAATCTCTGCAGAACCTTCTTTTGCTTAAATTGCCACACTTAACACAAAGCCCTTTCCAGACAGGAATGTGTTACCAGTCCCTGTTGCCTGTTCTCTGTGGGTTCCTCTTCAGCGGGTTCTACCCTGGCAGTATACGGGCTCTCTCAGGCTGTGCTTCGTGAGGCAGTATAGATAAACTGGAAGCTTTGGGGAAAGAATAAGTGCAGTT